TCAAATGTGGCCTAACTATGACATGTATAATGAAATTATAACTTCTTTAGACTTGTATTCAATATTTCTGTAGATACAGCCTAATGTCCTATTTGTCCTACCACAAGCACCAGATTTTTGTTTTCCCCCTTTAAGTGCCTCCTATTTGTGGTAATAGCTTAACAGTTTAATGGTGTTACATATTGTCAGATTGTTATTAGTCCATGTCTGGTAAATTCTGACAAATGCAGGTAAACAAGTAAGCTATTCAGCAATCATCATTTTCTTTGAGCAGTTAAATAATAATGAATATCAACTTGCTGTAACTTGTTCTATTAAAGGGATCTTACCCTAATTTGTGCATGCAACCAGGATTTTTTAAGGAGGGGGATCAATTTCAATCTACGAGAAGGAAAACCTCTACAAATGCAAGAATATAATTGATAAGAAAAAAGCATATTTATCGTATCATTGAAAATACTTATTGTTTTAAAAGTTATCATATAACACAGTATGAAATTTGTTTGGCTTATACTTTTTTAATTGTTTATAAATTGACTTCAATTTAAGATTATTATTATATAAGGTATATAGATACATAATGTATATCACATGAAAATGTTAAACATTATAATATATAATTGTTTTAGAATAAGAGTTGTTTTACTAAACTAATATTAAGGATATAAGATGATACCAAGATAAATTATCTGGGAATGCATATCAGAGCATTTTCTTATGAAACTATGTTTGGAATGCAGTTTCATGACTGGTACAAAGTCTCTTAATTTTATTTTCACAAGCAGTTTATAAAGAAAGTGAAAAAGCAGATTAGACATGTAGTTCAAAATTGTTTGATAATTTATTGTATCACATTTATATAAAATATTACTTTCCATGTAATTAAAATTAATTAAAATGTAGATTTTAAGTATTATTAACTAAAAGCAAACAAGTATAATGCTAACTAAGACCATTTTTAATATCTTCCTTACTGTTTCATTGACATGTGAGTTGTCTGTTACAATGATTTCTAACTTCAAGTAATCCTGAAGGATGAAATCATATTAGCTTGACATGAAACTACACGAGGCCAGTAATAACAAACTTCCAAGTGAAATGTACGACTGTATAAAGTGGTCCTAAATCATTTAGGTTTAAACTATAACCAAGTGCAGAAAATTTATAAATTTTATCCACCACTTAATCACAGTATGTCACACTAATTGCACTGAAATAGCGTTATGCAAAAAATAACTTGGAATACATTAATCACAAAGTGAATGATAAACAGATCCTGGTGCAACTATTAAGAACAACTGTTACTTCCTATTGTATAACTGTTTTCATGTGGCATAACTGCCAGAAGTTTAATTGATAGCAAGTCATACAAATGGTGAAATGCATACATGTGATCCTGCAGAAAAGAGCAATTTTTACAAAATAATTTTTAAGATATGTGGAAGTATCTAATAAACATATTTGTTATACTCTTTATTTTAATTGCATTTCCTTGCATAATGAAAATAAGGTTTTATTGTTTTTAAAAGACTGTTGATTTCTTTATGTTAATGTATGAATAAACATTATTGATGTTTGGTATGATCATGCATGGCATATAGTTAGACAATCCACTGATTTTCTAATTGATAATCTGCTGAAGATATATTTAATTCTAACAAACAAAATAGTAACTTGATGTATAAAAGCTAAGTTACTGCATTGTCTAAAGTAGGGGTTCACAAACTGAAGACGTGGACCCCTTGGAGACCATACGAAGATGTATAAATATTTTTTGATGTTCAAGTCCACAAACCTTCCTCTTCATTGCATGCATACCCAAAGTAATGGAACACTGGTTATATTTATAATCTGTAATAAGAAAGTAATACATACCACCAAGATAGCATATGGTGGTTGTCTTGTGAATTAAGGATCATAGGTTCAATACCTGTTGCCACCAAACAGATTAGCCCTTGCAGCCATAATGGCCTTATAATATCAATAGTGGGGTTTAATGCAATTATTTGCTGGTAAAAGATTAGCCTAAGAGTTTGTGGTGGGTCTTGCCATTTGATTGCTTTTCCTCTGGTCTGCAGTTCAAAAATTAGGGACAATGGCAGTTAGCTGTAGTAACTTTGCCTCAACTCAAAAACAAATATGAAATCCCTACAACTGAAAGTGCAAGCATCTTTGGTAGCAACAAGGAACAAACCTGAGACTTGAAGCACAAGTTAATCCCCACCACACCCCAAATCACTGAGCCATGCCAGCTTGAAGCTGAACAGATTGGAATTAATAAAAAAATAAAGAAAAAATCATATTTGTAATATTTCTATTAATTGAGTATTTTCATGAGTAGAATCACTAAGTGATTAAGCTGAACAAACTTAAATCAATTGAAAATAATAATGAAAAATCATAATGCCAATATTTCAATTACTTGAATATTAGATAGAAGAAATAATTGGAAAACTAGTTTTGATTATTTGATAATTTTCATCCCATTAATCAATTTGATCTTAATTTGATTATCCAATTATTGTATGTGACACTAATCAATTGTTTGAGTTCATCACTTAATTCGCAAAGAACACACCTTTAGTCATTCTACTGTAATAATTTATTTTCTTGAGACAGTGTTATATATAAAAAAATTTATACCATATAATTAATAATCTATTCTTAGACTAACATTGTTTAAAATTTATGTACTTTTTTATTAAAAGGTTTTAAAACTACCACACATTTCCATATAATATTTCAGTTGTTTTAAGATAACAGATAGCCTTAAGCAGTGTGAGTTTTACATGTACCGAGTTATTGTGCAAAACTCTACTATATCCATTTCTTGTTATTAAGTAGTAGTAATTTTGTTGGAAAATATTACTATTAGGTATGTGATTTTTTTTTAGTAATAATCCTTTCAAGTGATTGCGGTGGTAAATTTTTATGCCACAATCTTTTCTTGTTAATAGGTTGGCTTGTGAGCTCATTTTGTGTGCTTAATAAATAGTGTATAATTTACTTGTGAATAATTGATACCATAGTAGGTGGAATTCTTTTTTCAACTGTTAATAACAACTGTTCTACAGTCTATCCTAAACCTATTTGTTTACAGATATCATGTATGGAAGATATAAATATTTTGGAGATAATAAAATCTTGTAAATATTCTAATAGGAATATAACACTGCTCTAAGATATGTCAAAAACTTCCTTAGTGTGGAACCAGCAAATCGACAAGCTCAAGAATTAGAGGCATACATTAAGAGTCGTATGAGGAAAGGTAAGGTTATCATTTTAATACAAATTTTTTATAATATTTTTTACATCTAATTAAATATTTAGGTCATGAGTGGTCTAGTGGTTAATATGCCCAGAATGTGTGAATTCAAGGGTTCGTGGTTCATATCCTATTGCTGCAGAATTGCACTCCATGCTTTAGTGCTGTGGGTGCACTATAAGAGTGAGGGTCAGATCTCACTATTCACTTAGATGAGTAGCCTAAGTGTTGGTATTGAACATCTGCCTTCCATCTAGCCTAGCAGCTGAAAATTAGGGACAACTATGCATAAATAATCCTTTTATAGATTTTCATTAAAATCGTAAGCAAAACATAGAGAAATTTAGTTTTCTCTAATAGTTTTATTGTAACACTTAGTCATCTTGATTAGATTTTGTATCCCACTTTTTTCATTTTATTACAGATATTGAGTACATTATATTAAAATGATTTTGGATCCTTAACAATGGTCCTACAGTGTAGTTTCTATTGCAAAAGGCTCCCTTGTGAGGCTGTAATGTTCAAGATGTACCACTCCTCTCTGCATGCATTTCATAATTCATCTGGTGTATAAGAACAGTAGTTTTCTAGCACTTGCTTCAACAGTCCAGTTGCACAGAAATGCATTTGTGCTGTATCTGGCAACTCAACTAGTATACCATAGTATGGAGCAGCTACTTGAAGTATGCGATGATTGAACTACTATATTACAGAAGCAACTTGTGTGCATGTGACTTGTATCTTTTCCAGACAAAGATCATTCTTGATTGTTACATATTGTTGCCTGGGGCACGTTGATGGATCTTTTGACAGACCTTTGTGTTCGTTGATTTTAAACTGTTACAAGACACCAAACTTTGATTACTACATCTAGGGTGAACTTTTTGCAAGTCTCTTTCTAGATGGTTCTGGTGTCCCAAATTGGTCGATATTCCTTTCTTTTTTCCAATTCCATTAAGTGCAAGGAATATCCCCATATTGAAAACTAAATCCTCCATCTGAATACATCTTTATGGTCTTAGTCTATAAGTATTTTGTGTCAGAAAGGGCTGTTACAAACTCTTCCCAAATGACATCAGTTTCTGGTGGCATCACACTACCTAAGAAACACCAAACAATATCAAAATGTAATTCTGATACATGTCATTCCACCACAACATAATATTGATTGTGGTTGACACATGTCTTGCTTATTTGCCTATTCAAAATCATTTAATATAATGCACTCAAACCTCTATATGTAATGTGCTGTATATCAAGATGTTCTTTGATACATAGTTTAAGCAGAGCATTTATATCAAGTTGATTGGCAACTGCCTATTAGAGAAACATTTGTAGAAATATATTGGTGACTATACAATCTATTTATGCATCTCAAGTGTAGAGGACAATGTTTTGAAAGGCTTCCACCTTTTGTCTTCAGGTCATATTTGCTTTTTTTTTTTTTAACTTGACAGGTGTTTGGTTTGGAGGAAGAGATTGTAACTGAATAATTTGCAAGCTCTTCCCAACTGGGGAGCTTAGGAAACAATCATTTTCCTTCACCTCATACATGGAATGTGTTGTTAATCCAAAAGAAATATTGATTGGAAATGGATGTTAATTACAGGTGAAAGAAAGCTGTAGAAATGACAGTGGAAATCTATGAGAAGGGACTGGAAAGAGTTGTAGATCTCGGTTTATGTTTTCTGATGTTCTCTTCAAATGCCTTCTTATGTAGTTTAGGCTAAGGTGGTGACCAAAGCAACCAGCTTGTTCAGTGAAATATTATTGATACTTGATTGATTAATGGTATTAGAAAATAAATAGCAAGTGACAAATGGCCCTTCTGAAAGGGTGGAGACCAAAATAGGTCTAATGGCCAGGTAATTTTGATGTGGGGGGGGAACCGAAGTGCCTGGAGAAAACCCACTTTCACAGGACAGATGCCGATTAACTTATCTGTCTTATGCTGAAGCTTTAAATAAAAACATGAGAGATTAGTGACATATTCAATTACAGATTTGAAACCTTGTTGTATGTGTTTTATTTTTTCAAGCGTTTTTCTTCATGAGTGATTATAAGGTGACATATTTAAAGGGAGCACTTGTGGTCTTATGCAATGCAGAGGTGAGTTTGTTTCTGTGTTCGACTTTGTGGTAATAACTGTTAGCCAGCTTTGAGAATCTATCTCTTAGTAGGGATAAATTACTTGATTTATGTATGTAATCAACAGGGGTGAAATTTGGAAACCTTAGGGCTAATTTTTGTTGAGATTGTAGTTTATTCATGTTGTATGTTATCTGGCAGCCGTATTCTGAAAGCGGGCAAATGAATATTTTATGTATTTTAAGAGACGTGGCAGGAGTGCAGTCTATGTGTTTTCCAGTAATGAGTTTGATATCATTAATTAATATTATTAATCCATCTGCATACATTAAAATAACATTGTTAATTTTCCCACTGATTTTGTGTGCCTATCTTCAAAAGTGATTTCAGTAACTGTTTGAATGTTACAGTTTATTCTAAACTGTAAGCATCTTTATCATATTAATGGCAGTAGCTCAATTAACTTGAATGACTTTTATAATGTACCAAAAAAAGTAATCATTGGTAATAGTATGAAATTGCTTAGTTACATGTAAGGAAGCTGTCGTGCTGATGTCGCTGGACTCACCCAGAGGACTTGTCCCGAGTGGCTTAGATGCTGTGCCCCCGCCTGTATGTGCTCCACCATTTCCGTATTCATGGCGTGTTAGATCCCACTTTTGTCCCCATTTTCTTGTAATAATAATTCATGATTGTGTGGCAGCTAAGCATCGGTAGAATTATCGATGTACTGCTGTCTATGATGATGAGTTACATGTAAGGTTTTCTTTTCATCTGAAGCATTTATTTATTGTTTATAGGCACATTGATATTTTCAATGTGCTTGATCCATGTGAGATGTGTATCATAGGTTATGCCCAGGAATTTGATTTATCTGTTTATCTTTACTTCAGCTGTTCTGATTAACAGGACAGCTCAAGTAAAGATAAACAACACATTATCAAAATCATTTAACATAATTGCAGGAGTGCCACAAGGCTCCGTCTTGTCACCACTCCTTTACATTATTTTTGTTGACGATATCCCCTTCCAAGATCTGACTTATACTAATCACTCTCAAAATGCTGATGACATTGGCTGTCTGGTGCATATCGAGATACCTTCTTTTAATCGCTGATAGAGCACAAAAATCTTTAATCGTCATCACAATAAACGGTGCAATAAACGAAAAGTCATACTCAATTCCATTAAAACACAAGCAATCGCCTTTTACAGAAAACTTAGAAAACAGGTGAAAAACAAACAAAATTAAACTGAAAATAGAAACTACTGAAACTACAATGTCAGTGGGGATAGTTGGGTATTAGTGATTTTGTGTAAAACTATCCCTTATGAACTGAAATTTGGGCATGCTCTAGAACTTGTAGCATGGGTGCCCTGGTAGTTGGCACAGTGGATGTGGTCTTGATTGTTCGGGCACTGGACTACTTCATACTGCCCAGTGCACCTAACACATTTAGGGGGAGCAGTGCCGAAAGTTTTACTATGCTTGAATTTCTAGCAATTTTAGTATTGGAGGATTTGTTTGGCTGGTGTTTTCACTGGCTCAGTAAAGTGTTTTCTGAAGAAACTGTTTGTCAGAATTTGAAATATATAATTTTTCTTTTTTTTATTAATTGTCAAAGTCAAAAGGCTTTTAGTTATATTTCTTAATAGTATAAATAAATACTATGTTGTTGTTGGGTTAAGGATTCTTCTACAGTAGGTGTCTGTGACTTGTTAACGATAAATGAACAGTGCACTCTTCACTTGTTTTCAAAATAATATATATATATATATATATTTATATATATATATATATTTGGAACAGGTAAAACGTATGTACAACAAATCATTCAATATTATAGATATTATAGACATCTCATAAACACTATATACATAGTTCTCTCCTTCTTGTCAAAAGTCCACTTGGGCCTATTCAATTACTTTGGAATTTCATTTGACAAGCCAAACTATTTTCTCTATTACTATTGCACTAGTATTCTGTGTGTGATTCACTTACAGTTGTGGAGCAAGTTACTGTAATTGTTTGGTATTCTTTCTTCTGAAGATCCTCTGTTCCTTTTATCAAAGTGTACCCAGGCTGACTCAATTACTTTAGAACCATGCTTTGATAGAATAAACAATTTTTTTTTATCTTCTTTTCTACTGTTAGTCTTATTAACATATTAAACATTAGGCCTATGTCAATTGTTAGGCCTATCATATTTAGGGTACTTAACCTTTCCTTTTCTAACTTTACTTTCTCTTGCTATTATCTGTCTGCTGCTTCCTACTCGTCTCATGCTATTTATATCTTTATCACCTAATCGTCTGTCTGCCTTCTATATTCTGGATGTCAGTGTATTGCAGGCGATTTGCAATAGTCTCGACATCAATGAATTATTAACAAAACCTCCTACAATCATCTGCTTTTAACTCTTATTATAACAAAAACTAAACAGTAATAAGCTATTCACTCACAAAAACAAGTCAATCAATAACATCTAAACTAAATAGTCTTTTATATCATGACTGATCTTTAGATTCCACAGTTACTTTATCTAAGGGTGTTATGTTTTTGGTTTTGAATAAAGTTATTCTCTCATCCTTAATGAGAATGTAGCCTTGAGTTTTGAGTTCATTACTGATTTCATTGTCAAAGTCAATGCCTTTAATTACTATTTCAGGTTGTGAACTGGTGTGTTTGGACAGTGGGCTAAAATGTGTGCATAGTTATTTGGTGTCATACATTTTATCAGTATCCCACCTTTCAGTAGGCTCCTGATGTTTTTAAAAGAGAGGTCAGTGAATGTTTTCCTTATTTCGGTGACTATTTCTGGTATCCCTTCAATGATGGTCATATGTGCAAGCTAAAGCAGGCCTTATATAGTATCCATGTGTATTGAAATGGATGTGCTTTGATTGGTTGTTTGTTCCTGGCCCTGATTGGTGGAGTAGCTGGATGTAGATTCAACCAGTAATAGACATAAGTTGCTGATTTCTAAGCCCAATTCTATGTTTAATGAAGGTTTTATTGTGTTGATGTAGAAAGATTCTTTTTTTTTCTTCAAAAATTTGTTTGAGTCAATAATTTTATCTTTGTCCCAGTCTGTTTTGTGTCCAGTTGACATAGTATGTCCTGCAGTGGCTAAATTCTGTGTTTTCATTAGTCTTGTGTTGTCTTTTTGTCCTTTTATTCTTGTCCCCAGTTGTCTTCTCATTTCTCCAATGTAGGTTTTGTTGCAGGAACATAGAATTTCATAATTACATTTTTGTGTTTCTTGTTAGTGGGTTTCTGTTTAGTTTTGACCAGGATAGCTCTTATTGTTTTGTAAGGTTTTCAACAGGCATCTGTATTGAATTTCTTGGCTATACATTAGAGTTTTTTCACTAAAGTTTTGCATGTAGGGGAGGTAAATAGTTGTAATATTATTCTCCTTATCTTTTCTTTCTGTTATGTGTGTTTTTTTTTTGTTGTTGTTTTTTTTCAGGGAATTTGTGAAGAAAGTAGAGGTATAGCTGTTTTATGTAAAACACTTTATGGTGTTTTGGCATTCTGTTTTGATGGGTATTTCATCTCAGATGTTTTCAACTCTGTTGTTCAGGCATTGGATTATATTACAATTTACTGAGTTTAGATGATAGGACTGGAAGTGTAGGTATCTGTCGGTGTGGGTGGGTTTTCAGTATACAGTGGAAGTGTAGGTATCTGTCTGTGTGAATGGGTTTTCAGTATACAGTGGAAGTGTAGGTATCTGTCTGTGTGAATGGGTTTTCAGTATACAGTGGAAGTGTAGGTATCTGTCTGTGTGAATGGGTTTTCAGTATACAGTGGAAGTGTAGGTATCTGTCTGTGTGAATGGGTTTTCTGTATACAGTTGTAGTAATTTTTCTTTTCTGTCTGCTGACATGTATGTCAAGAAATTGTAGGCTGTTTGTTTCTCTATTTTCATGGTGAAGTGATTCTTTTGTTTATAGAATTACAATGTTTGAGGAAGGCTGGTGCGTTTTCATGACTGTTGAGCTAGATAACAAAGGCCTCCTTAACATAGAATGTATAAAAATGTATATTGTCATCTTGGTAGAGAAATGTTTACTAGAAGTGTTTCTTTTAATGCAAGTTTTTAATTCTGACACATAGATGATGAAAGTGACAGTTATATTAACATAAGAATACCATATATTGATAGTGGTCATTGCTATACCAGGATTATATCCATTTACTTTCAGTGTCTTAAATTTAATTGAAAGTTGTTAATAATAGTTTAAAATAGTTATGTATACCTATCATGTTACATCATATTAAATAATTACAACTAATAGCGTGGAGTCTTTGATTTAAACTTAGTTCATATAAGATATAGTTTGTATTATAAAACATAAAACAAACTTTTACATGTTCTAAGTTACAGAACTTTGCCTATTTCTGCTTTACACTTCTGGTAACTTAAAAGTTGTTATATTTCAAATATGTCTTTAAATATGAAAAACTATCATATGGAACATTTCTGTTGTTTTTAGAAGGTTTAATGGGAATGGCCATTGTTGGAGGAGCAGCCATCGCTCTTGGTGGATTAGTGGGTCTTGGAGTAGCTTTATCCAAAAAGTGATGTTGATGACACTGTTTCTTAGGTCAGTTTAGAATACTATCCATAAACAAAGTAGTAAATAATTAACTAGTTTTAGTTCAAAAAATTGTATTGGAGCACAGAATTAAATATTTATAAAAAGAACAATTTCATTTAACCTTCTCATTACAGGCACTGTGGATGACACTGATCTTGTGATCCCAAAGTGACAATCAGAATTTCCATACTATAACTTTTAACATGTTTTGTGTATCTTCACACAATTTGAAAAGCTTTCAATAAACATTTCAAGTTTTTTGTAGACAAAACATCAGATTTTTTAAGTAAGTATTTTTAAAAAAAATTTGTGCATGAATATAAGAAGTAAGAATGTTGACTGTTCTGAGTGCAAAGTGATTTTCATGTTAAAAATTAAGATACTTTTCTTCACCTGAAAATTGTTAAATTAATTTGTATAATTGCTAAAATCTCATGAAGAAAGACCGAACATTTTTTCAGCAAAACTTCATATTTTATGTTATTTTGTTTACCCTGAGTCTATATGCATTAAACCTTGTAACCACTCTATAAAAATATGAAATAAATTTTAATTACACTTTTTTCTTTTTCAAATGATTGCAAATTATAACTGGTTAGTAGTTGTTTATCCTAAATAGCTTGAAGCTCATGACTATACATTTGTTTATACTTACTTTTATTGTTTTATTGCCCTTTGATGTCTAACTAATACTCCTGCCACACAAGTTGTAAATCGCTCAGCAAAGTTGTAGCTCATGTTACTGTATTTAATTACGTAAAATACAAGCTGCTCGTGAGCATATCTCGTTTTATTATTATTTTTCAGTATAGTACCAAATCTAACCTAGAAGTTTCTAATTTTTACATTTTATTATAATAAATAAAGAGTACACATGAAAAACAAGAAATATAGCACTTGCCTGTGACTTTTTTTTGCTGCTGGTTGCCAATAAAATTTAAGCCTACTTTTATATACTAATGATACAAGTATAATAAATAATTTTTATTTACTTAAAAAGTGCACCTAAGAACTCAGATTAAAAACATGCATGAAGCAAACAATGTCCCATAACTATCATAATTTTTTGGCTTTCTAACTTTAGCATAAGAGCCTTTAAATCCTACCTTAAGCTTATCAATCTGAAGGCTGCAAGAGACAAGTTCAAACTAGAGACTAAGTAGGCAATAATTTGTACTTAAAAAGCATAATATAATATGTAATTTGATAGATTAAAATCTTGGCTTTGTATTGGTTATATGTAATATAGTAATATGTCAGAGAGAAATATTGGCAATTTGTGAAAGAGACGATGTGACAGGTAGGCATGGCAAGTGAGTTTGATTTTCTAATATATGACTTTTGTAAACAAATAAGATTGAAGACTATAAAAATTATGCTTTGCTTTAGTAATATCTGTATTATAATGAGTAATTTATGTTAAATTCTGTACTTCTCAGAGGAGTGGTAAATAAATTAGGGAAGAGGAAAGACCTAGAGAACAAATGTCACAATTCTCATACTAGAGGAACTTGAGAATTTTTTAAATATTTTTTTAAATAAGAATTTAAAATTTTTATAATATTAAGATTTAATTCATTAACTATGTTTTGATGCCAAGTTTATTTGTTTAGAATCATTATAAAATAATTTAATTAAATTTTAAGTGTAAAAACTCTGTAAAAGGTTGTGAAGTGCACTTTGACCTACTTGTAACAAGAGGGTTAATGGACAGTTTTCATGAATTTTCTACGTATCTATGCACAACATTAAAATGGCTATCTGTTTGGGACTAGTTCTTTTAAAGTCCAAACATAAATCCTCTGATATTGACAAAATATTTGCTAAGCTTTTTTAGTCTAAGTAGCTATTTTATACAACTGTAGTATTATCTTGTTTTGAAATGTTGAACTAATTTATACCTTGAGCTAAGTATAATATCATATATGATCACAAATATTGTTCACCATGTTCATTTGTTTTCCTTCCATTAGGAAACAACAAATGTGACAGTTTCCTTTACAAAATGCCTTTATGATACACCAACCAGTATACAAATTTCAGAAAAGGTTTAGCTAGTGACTCTTTTGATACTTATTGGTCATTGTCGTGGAAACACTGTTTATAAATATAGTCAGATGTTGTAACGTGTGCAAGTGTATCTTACTTTGTTTATACCACAAAAAATAATATATCCTTGCTCATGTTAAACAAAGTTAATACTGACAATGTATTATATTTTAAAAATTCATTTTGAGGCCTGTATATAAATGTTTGGGTAAATTTCATACATCTTTAAGTGATAAATCTGTTTTTTTTAAAAGGGTGTTTTATTCATAAAAAATTTAAGTGAAAAACTGAAAGAAAATATTATTGAAACAGTGACCCAAAAATAGAACACTTTGACACAGTAGTTGATATACATTCTTGAATTGTCTTGGCTTTACAAAAATAATAATAAAATACATAAAAATAAATACAGGACACTCAAAGCTGGGTGTAGGTTAGTTACTGAGTAACAGCATTTTCACTCAATTTTTAATTTTCAATCTTTAAACAAAATATCAATTTTTCTGTTACTTGGTATTTTATTTCAGTAAGATCAATCTGTTTTTAAAACTTAAGTCTTTTTCAAGTAGTCCTAATCCCTTAGTTATTGTTTAATCTATTTAAATATAGTATTATCCACAACATCATATATTTAACCTATAGTTTTGTTTTTACTTGAACAAGCTATCATTTGATCAGGATTGTTTGTGTTTAGGTATGGTATGTATGTGCAAATGTATTCATTATTTATTTGAAAACATGCCAAGGTTGTAGACTAACTTGTGTGTTTATACTATTTGCATTATGTTAATTATTTACATGTGCTTCTACAAATTTGAAGATATTCCTTAGGATAGTGTTATCATTTTGTTATCCATCAAATAGCCATTTACAGTTCAATATTCAATGTATATATCATTTAGAACAGTTTATCTCTAAACTGATCTATAGTATGACTAAAGTCATACTGAATAAGCTGATACACACGTGTACTTCAGTTTCTCTAGAATTTATGTGTAGAAAACAGTGAACATTAAATATAAAGCTCTAAATTGGATTGTGGTGCTCATAGAAAAGTTAAATTAGCAGAAATTACCAAAGAAAATTACTCAACTGGGGTGGAAATTTTAAACAGTCATAGTTTTG